TGAGCAGAACAAGTCCACAGGCTCCATCTTCTCGAGAACCTTTGCTCAGTGCCACAGCTGCCTGACAGGTCTCACTGACATAGGTCCTGTTGGCCAACTGCAGGTTGATCAGGGTGTTCCTTTGGGTCTTTTAGCTGGAGAAGCACAGCCTCTTCTGCACCACAGAACCAAAGGACAACCGTAGGAGGAACATGCGTTGGGAGAGAAAGAGCTTCACCTTCGGTCTGCAGCAGTGCAACTGGCCCACAAAGACAGCAGCCTCCTGCACCACCATGCCAGGGCGGTCAGTGCCTCCACAGGGAGAAGTGCATCCATGGTCAGGGACGGGAGAAAAGGCACGTGGCCCCACAAGGAGAGGCTGGAAGCAGGCAGGGCTCCTCTACTCACCTGTTTGTGCTGGGCAGCTGGTGGGAGGCAGGAGGAGGGATGAGTGAAGTGCTGCAGTGCCCGTTGCAGGGATGAGCACAGCCCGACAGCGGCGGCGGCATCTTCAGCAGCGGCACGTTGGCAGGGGGCAGGTGAGGGCTCTTGCAGGGCCCTGGGCTGTGTGAGGCCGTGCTGGCCGGAGGGGACTCGGGCACCGGCTTGGGGGCCGCCGCCTGCGCGCTGGGAGCAGGGAAGAGCGTGGCCTGCGAGGAGCTGAAGGGCCCCGCGTGGGGAGGGGTCTGCTTGGAGGGCAGCAGCGCCGGGGGCTGCGAGGGGAGGCCGGTGGGGCTGTTGGGAGGAGCAGTGAGGTCGGAGTGCTGATGATGCTCTGAGGAGTGGAAGGCCTCACCTGCAGAGAGGCAGGAGCACAGACAGTCAGACACCGGCTGTGCTGCACGGACCAAGGCCATGCTCAGAGCCACCCACCACCTTTGCACAAGCTGTTTCTCCTCCCAGACATCAGAGTGCTTGGGACAGAAGCCATCCCCGCTCACACAGAGCCTTGGGGTCAGTGTGCCTCCCCCACAGGATTCAGCCCATGAGAACAGGGCGAGAGGGAAGGCTCTGGAGCAGCAGGGCAGGAGGCGGTGCCGGGGCTGTCCCTGGGCACGTACCTGGCGGGGTGGCCCTCCGGCACAAGCTTTTGAACTGCTTCGGCAGCGTCTTGCAGAAGTCGAGTGAGGTAGGCAGAGGCGAGCCTGGCGTGGTGTTGCTGGAGGTGGCAGAGGCCGTGTGGCTGTAGGGACAGGCCTTCAGCCCCGGCGCCACGGCCGACACCTGGCTGGCGCACTCTGGAGACAGAGCGAGGCCAGGGTGCTTGTCACCTGGAAGGTAAGAGGAGCTGGGGCTGAATCCCTGCACCATCTGCCTTTTTCAAAGGGGCCCAATATGGGTACTGAGATTCAGAGGTCCAGCCTGGCCACCCTTGCCCACAAGGAAACCACCTAAGCCAAGAACTGCTCTGCTCCACCCCACAGCCAGCTGCAGCTCACCTAGTGCAGCTGGGGGAGCCCCAAGGGGGCTGCCCTGCACGGTCCCGTTGGTGTGCTGCGAGTTCCAGAGGCCCGAGAGCTTGTGAGCAGACAGAAACGAGCTGGGGTCCCAGTCCCCTGAGTTCCCATGGCACGAGGAGGAAGAAGACGAGGAGGAGGAGGAAGAGGAGTGTGAGCCACCCCCACAAGACTGCGACTTGCAGGATGTGTGGGATAACGAGACCTATCAAAGGAAACACAGACTGCTAAGTGGCTGAGGGGACACCTTGGCCCCCTGCACTAAGACTCCCTCCACTGCAGCAGGGGCTCAGCTCATGTGAACCACTTTTATCACTGTCTTGGGAGAGACAAACACCCCCTCCATCCACACCAGCACAGCCTGGCCCACAGAGCCTGGCCCATGCCAAGGGCCACACACCTCTGCTGGTGCCACTCACAGCAGGGCAGGGTTAAATAAAGCCAGGCAGAAGCCAGCTCCTGTACCCCACGCACAGGCAGGCACTTGCCCTGGCAGCCACTGCCTCTCTTTGCGTCATGAAGGGAGCAGCCCTGGGGCTGGGGGACGCGGCACAACGTGCGGCAGAGGAAAGCAGTGGCACTGTCAGTCCTGCCAGCCTGGCAGCTCCAAGCCATGGCACGCTGCTGGATGAGCCTCCACAGCACCACACACTGCCCTAACAGGGCCTGTCCCTGCTGAGCCAGAGGCAGGGGAAGTGAAGGCTGGGCTGTCTGGGACACTCAGCTCAGAGTGAGGATGGGACCCACACACGCAGTCAGTGGCACAGGGTGCTCAGTGCCCCGTTCCCACAGGCACAGCCCCGGCTTTCACACCCCAGCCCCACACACCGCCAGGGCCTGCTCCTGCACCGCCCGCCGCTCTTCCTCCTCCACGCTCTTCCGGCAGCTCTGGCAGATCCACAGTGGCATTTCTCCCAGGAGGTTCTGCACGAGCGTTGGCACGAAGTCTGGTGGCAGCCTCTCGCCCGGGGAAACCAGCCCGTTGTGGGACGGCCCTCCCCAGTCCTTGCGCTCGCGGTGGCAGAGCAGGCAGCAGGTCTGCACGGACTGGTTGGCAGTGGGCAGCACCTGAGGAAGGACACACAGACTGAGTCACCCAGGTGTGATCTGGCGCAGATGTGGGGCAGATGAGGCAGGGAAAGAGACCTCAGGACGCTGACACCAAACCAAGGAAATCCTTACAGGCTACATGTGGTATTGCACCTTCTCCCACTGGAGCAGAGCAGCCTCAGGCTGGCCAGCTGCTGCCAACCTGCCATGTGCCAGCCTGGGAGTCTTTGGATTTCTGGGAAGATCACAGCATGCCAAAGAGCCAGCCTTGCCACCAAGCAAGGCTGGGAAGCTGTCAGCAACTCCCACCATCACCTCTGGTACAGTGAGACTGAGTGTACATGCATGGCAAAGCAAGACCCACAGAAATCCCACACAGGGATATGAAGGGTGGCTCTGACAGCCTCAGCTCTCCTTCCTTGCCCATCAAAGATGCCCCCGCTGTGTCACCCGAGAGCCCCAAGCCCTCTCTCCCGCCTCTTTGTTCCGCACAGCCAGCGGTGCTGATGCGCCGGGGTGGGGTGCAGCCCCCTGTGCTGCCTCACGCTCTCCCTGCACAGGCACAGCCAGGCTGGGCTCCCCTGCAGGAGCCAGGCTGCGTCCCTCGGGCTCGCCGGAGCCCTGACAGCCGTGACGAGCCCGGCGTGGCGCGGGCGAGGGGGCCCCCATTGTCTGCCGGCGCAGCGGGGCCCTGCCACAATGAGCCGTGCATTGAACTGCTGCTGCCAAACAGATGGCGTCTGCAGGCTCAAGGTGAAGCAAAGGTCAGAGGCCAAGGAGAGCAGGGTGGGGGCACAGCCCCTCTGCCCACCCACAGCGAGGGGGGAGCAACCGGGCCACCCAACATCCCAGCTGACACAGCCGCCAAGGCGGGTGGCACCACGGCGGGTGACACCACGGCTGTCCCCAGTCCGCCCAGCACATCCACGCCCGGCGCCCACCCCGCCTCCCTGCCCACAGCCCGGAGCAGGTGGCGGCAGCCAGGTGTGTCCAGCCGGGAGAAGCGCACTGCACGAGGATGCTGGAGCCACCTGCCATCGCCCAGCGGCAGGGCTGAGGCAGGGCTGAGGCAGGGCTGAGGCAGGGCTGGGCCCGCCCGCGGGGCGCTCTGGGAGCGCTCCGAGCCCCATCCGCAGGGATGCTGCGAGCCGGGGGTCGGGGCGGGGATGGGGCAGGGCCCCGCGGGGATGGGGTGCAATGGGCAGGGCTCCATCCCCGCGCAGCTGAACCCCCCTCGGAGCGAGCCCCGCGCCCGCCGCAGCGCTGCCCCGGTACCTGCGCGCTGCCTCTGCCCGACTCCCCGCCGCTGCCCGCCGCCGCCGCCACCTCAGGCGGGGCGGGCGGTTCCGGTGGTGGTGGCGGCGCGGGAGGCCCGACGTCGGGACCCGCCATCCTGTCACGACGAGGCCCGGAGCCACCTGCCGCCGCCGCCGTCGCCGTTGCCGCCGTTGCCGCCTTGTTCCGCCGGCGAGTCATGGCGAGCCCGCCGCAGCCAGGACAACAGCCAATATGGCGGCGCGGCCCGTCCGGCCCCTGCCCGCGGGAAGGAGGGAGGGAGGGAGGGGGAAAGCGCTCGGGGAGCTGAAGCCGCCGCCGCCATCTTGGGTGAGGGCAGCGCTGCGCCCCCTGGCGGACAGGGGGAGCGGCCGCAGCTCCGCGGGTTCGAATCCGCCCGGCGCCCCGAGGAGCTCCGAGGCTCCCGCGGGTCCGCCGGGGACCCGAGATCGGGGGTGCACCGCCATCCTATGCCCCCCCGCTGGACAATCGGAGCGCAGCTCCTCGGGTTCACACTGAAAGAGAGCAGGATTGGATTAGATATTAGGAAAAAAGTCTTGCCTCTAAGGGTGGTGAGGCACCCAGGGTGCCCAGAGAAGGTGAGGCTGCCCCATCCCTGGAGGTGTTCAAGGCCAGGCTGGACAGGGTTTGGAGCGACCTGGGATGGTGGAAGGTGTCCCTGTGTGTGGCAGTGGGATGGAACGAGATGGTCTTTAAGGTCACTTCCAAACTTCTCTATGATTCTGTGATTCCTGGCCCTGCACAGGAGAACCCCAAGAATCTCACCCTGTGCCTGAGAGCATTGTCCAAATACACTCCTGGAGCTCTGTCAGCCTTGGAGTCACGATCACTTCCCTGGGGAGCTTCCTCAGTGCCTGTCCACCCTCTGGGCAAAGAACCTGTTCCTAATATCCAACCTAAACCTCCCCTGACACAGCTCTAGCCATTCCCTCGGGTCCTGTTACTCCCACAGAGAGCAGAGACTGGAGCTGCCCTCGGCTGCCCCTCCTGAGGAAGCTGCAGCCCATGATGAGGTCTCTCCTTGGTCTCCTCTACCAAAGGACTTCAGCAGCTTTTCATGTGACTTCCCCTCTGGATTCTTTGCAGCCTCCTTTGGACACTCTCTAACAGCTTTGTTCTTCTTTTATTGTGGTGCCCAGATCTGCGGGGACCTGTGGGACAAGCAGGGCTGCAGGGATCCCCATCCAGGGGAAGCAGGACACGGCTGAAGAGAGAGCCGGGCTCTGTGGGGTACACAGGGAGCCCCAGCACCGGGGCCAGTCCCACCCCTGCACCTGGGCCCTGTCATGACTCAGGCACTTTCTGAAGCCGAGGACGTGCCGCTGCCGTGTTTGTTCAACCACCCTCCACGGATTCTTTACCCATGAATCCGCGCCATTAGGCTTTCAGCCACCTGAATTATCGGCACCCACATCCTGTGCCCAGCAGTGCCAGCTCTGGAGCAAACACGTCCTTTGGCACAGCCGGGGTGGTTTGCTGTGGCCAACACCCCGAGCACCCCCCGGCACCTCTTCTTGGCCACTTGGTTCCTCTTTGTCCCACTTTACCCCCTTCCCACTGCATTACCCCGCTCCCGGTGCTCCCCATCACCCCGGGAATGCTCGGCGTGCTCTGGGAAGCGCTGGGGTGTCCCTGTCCCCGGGTTATTGGGCTGCGGGGAGAGAGGAACCGGGGGAGGATAGCCGGGGATGCAGTCGGGAATTTGAGACGGGAACCAAGACCGGGAAGGAAAGCTGGCGGTGAAACCCATCCCGCCCCACGGCAGACGCGCCCTCACCCTTCCCATCACAGAGAACCGGTCCGTCGAGGAGCGGACGGGTCGCCCCGGTGCCGGGACTGGGCGGACACCGCTCCGGTCCGCCCCGCGGGCGGTGCCCGGTGCCGGCCCGCCCCGTCGGCGAGCGGCGGGCGCGGGGAGCCGGGCGGCGGCACAGCTGCGGGACGCGCCATGCTGCCCGCTGCCCTCCGCCGATGGCTCCGCCGACCCAAGGTGAGACCGGGGGGGTCGAACCGGGCCGCCCTCCCCGCGCCCGGGACCGGCGGAGCCCCCGGACGGCCCCGTCGGGGCGATCCAGGAGCTGCGGCGATCCCGGGAGAGCAGGGGCGGCCGGGGTCCCTCGTGGTGGAGCGGGAGGAGGAAGCGGGGGGACTCCGGAGGAACTTTCCCGGTGTTTACAGCCACGCACGGATCGGTGCCAAAGCTGCCGGGATGCGGCTGAGCTTGTTCATCCTGCTCTGCCCCCGGGGAAACTGAGGCACGGGTGGGTGGGGAGGGCGGCGCTCCCCGGGAGGAGCCAGAGCTGCCGTGGGAGGTCCCACGTACCTGCCCGAACAGGTGTTCGTGGATCCGTGGGATCCGACTGTGGGAGCGGGAGGTTCGGGATCCCGCCGGAGCAGCACACGGAGATGCGGGGTGCTCCCCCATCACCCCTCTGCCCTTCCCGCAGCGCTCCGACCCACGCCTGCTCTCCCAGTTCTTCTTTGCCGACGAGAGGGTGACACGGGTGGTGGCCGAGATCAACGGGCTGGATGCCGAGCTGGATCCGCAGCAGTACCTGGTGCTCCTCAACCAGCTGCACCTCAGCCAGGTACGGGCCAGCCCGGCTCCCGCCGCGACTCGGTGCCCCCGAGGCCGCGGGTGACACCCCTGCCGTCCCCAGGCTCACCTGCTGGCCGTCCTGGAGCGGATCATGGAGGAGTGCATCCCCACGCAGCGGCACAGCCGCGACTACCTGGTCAAGTTCCCCGAGGAGCTCTTGGTGGACAATTTGGGGAACCACATGCTGTTTGCTGCCGAGGTGAGCCCGGGGTGACGGACACCCCACGGTGGGCTGACCCTGGGTGAGGCATTGCCCTGGGTGCTGGCTGCTGACACTCCCTATCCCGGCAGTGCCTCCTGGCTGGCACCTTCCTGGACATGGAGGAGTCAGACGGGGCACAGCTGCGGCCCCAGGCCAGGAACCTGCTGTGCAGCCTGGAGCTGGTCCGGACAGTGCTGCGGGAGCAAAGCCTGAGCCAGCCCAGCTCCTACCCAGAGCCTGTCCGGGCTGTGCTCATCCAATTCGACTGGCTGTTTGCAGAGTTTGAGCTGAGGTAAGGGGCAGGGTTAGGGTGCTGGGCTCTGCCGGGCTGTGCCAGGACTGTAGGGGCCTCACAGTGTCCTCATCTCTCCAGCTACGTGTCCTCGCTGGTGGCAGTGAAGTCTCCTGATGAGATCTACAGGCAGCAGGAGATCATCGTGCTCTTCTGTGAGACAGTGGAGAGGTGAGTGAGGGGCACTGTGTGTCAGGTGGGGGCTGCAGGGACTCCAGCCACAAGGATGGGCAGCATCCCGAGGCTCAGATGCACTGGAAGGGTGTCTGTGTGTCCCCAGAGCCCTGCACCTGGGCTACCTGACCCAGGAGATGATTGATGGCTATGAACCACTGCTGATGTTCACCATCCCTCGCCTGGCCATCATCAGGTGGGTGCAGCCCCTGGACAAGGGCTGTGTTCCCTGCCCTGTGCCAGCCCCTTCTCCTCATGGGGAGCTGGGGTCCCAGGCAGCCCCTGACATGAGCTGGGCTCTGTTCCCTCACAGTGGTCTCCTCATCTACCCCGAGGGACCCCTCAGCCTGGAGCGGAGCCCTGAGGAGATGTCCCGGGTCTTCAGCCCCTTCTACAACCTCCTGAAGAAGATCAGGTGTGCAGTGGGGGCGATGGCGGGGCTGTGGGGCAGCAGTGGGGCCCTGACACGGGGCTGATGCCAACCCCTCACCGCAGGGACCTGCTGTGGGTGCTGTCAGCAGAGGAGCTCTGCCTGCTGGAGAGGAGCCTGTGCACAGCCGAACAGGAGGATCCCTGCAGCCCGGATGCCCCCCCAGCCTGGGGGGCAGCTGTGCCCAGTGTGGACCCCCCTGCTCCCTTCAGTGTTCTGGAGGTCCCTAATGCCACCCAGCCACTCCCCACCTGCCAGACACGACTGGGACCCCCCAGTGCAGTGGGCAGGGAACAGGGCCAAGATGGCAAATCCCTGCCCACTGGCACAGGGATATCTGCTGCCATCCCTGGCGCAGTGGTCACCTCCCCCCTGCGCAGCCCCCAGCCCCTTGGGAGCGGCCCAGGGCTGGGGGTCAATGCCAGCCCAGGTGCCCGCTGCTCGGAGCTGCGCTCCCGCTACAGCAGCACCAAGGACATGCTGCACACCCTCTTCGTCTGCATCTCGGGTGAGTGACCCCCCCAAGCCGACCCCCCAGCTCCCTGACCCCCCCAGCACCCTGACCCCCCACCCTCCTGGTGCAGGGGTGGCTGATCAGCTGCAGACCAACTTTGCCAGTGACATGAGAAGCATCTTGAAAACGGTCTTCAAGATCGTGTGCTCGCAGGCGGAGCCCTCGGAGGAGCAGAGTGTCAGCAGTGAGTAATCCCCAGGGACATGTGGCACTGCTCCTCTCTGCCCTGCCCATCGCCCATCCCTGGTGAGACAAGGCCACAGCCCTAGGCTTGGGAAAAACGTGGCCGTCGTGCCAGCTTGGCTGGACCCGACCCTTGTCCCCGCAGAAGAGAAAGATGGTGACTCCTGTGTGACAGACGCTCCTCGCGTGGCTGACTGCCCGCTGTGCTCCAGCCCTGCAGAGGCTGCCAGGCTCCGGAGGGCAGGTGAGGTGCTGCCCAGGGGCCGTGGCTCTGGGGCAGGGCGTGAGCCTGGGGCTGATCCTGCCCCATCCTGCCTCGGGGGGTCCGGCTGTGAGGGATGCCAGGCTGAGGGGATTTTACCGATGTGTTTTGCCCAGCAGGTGCCCGCCCCCTGCCCGAGTGGGTGCCGGACAGCACGTGCAGCCAGTGCTCTGCCTGCCGCTCGCCCTTCACGCTGCTGCGCCGCCGGCACCACTGCCGCAGCTGTGGGAAGGTACAGCGGGGCTGGCAGGGGCACGTGGGGCTCCCCGAGGGACCCGCTCTGCTCAGCCCCTCTCTGTGCTCTCTGCAGATCTTCTGTGCCCGCTGCTCACCGAACACCGCCGTGCTGCCCTTCTACGGCCCGAGCAAACCCGTACGAGTGTGCACCCACTGCTACAGCACGCACCTGCCGCCCAGGTCCCGCTGTGCCCGGGGCCACTGAGAGCCGCTCTGCAGCGCAGGAGGCACAGCTGGGCGTCCGGGGCCGCTCGGGGGCTGCCGGGCAGCGCTCGGCCCCGGGACTCCCCTCAGCTCGGCGGGCACGGCGGCAGGACCCCCGGCCCGGGCTGGGCTCCCTCATGCTCGGGGCAGGGCCCCACACGGAGCGGCCGCGGAGCCACGGCGGGCTCAGCACCGCCGCTCCCGGGGCGCCGTGGGTGCTGAGGCTGCTGCCGCTGCCGTGCGCCTGCCCCCCGGCTGGAAATGTGCTTCGTGGTGGTTTTTGGTTTTTTTTTTCCCAGGTGAACTTTGGCTGCTGTTGGGCCCGGGGCAGAGTCTCCCCCCGGGGCCTGGCCCGAGAGGGTGCAAACATCCCTCACATGACAGCGGGTGCCCCGGGGCCGCCCGTGCCGTGCCGTGCCGGGAGCTGGGGCCCGGCGCTCCCCTTCCCTCCCTATCGCCTCCGCGCGGTGGATTTTAATAAAGAGATAAACGCGTCAGTCTGGGCCGTGTGGCCGTGCGGCGGCTGTGGGGACACGCGCGGGCCCGGCGGGGCGGGGGCGCCTGCGCGTGCGCGCTCCCGCTCGGGCGGACACGGGCCGGGGGCGTGGCCTTCTGGGGGGAGGCGTGGCCTCGAGGCCACAATTGCTTAAACCCCGTCAGGGGCGTGGTCTGACGCCGGGGGGTGGGCGTGGCCCGCGCCGTCCCCTCCCGCCGATTCAAATTTGAAGCACGCGCTTTCCCGCCCGAATTTGTTTGCCCGCCGCGGTGACGTCAGCGGCGCGGGGCGCCCCGCGGCCAATGAGCGCGCGGCTCGCGGCCGCCTCCCGCCATGGAGCCCGCGGGCAGCAGCATCCAGGTGCTGCTGCAGGCGGCCGAGTTCCTGGAGCACCGCCAGCCCCGGCACCCGCACCCGCCCCCGCCCGGCCCCGAGCACGGCTACGCCGCTCTCTGCCCCGCGCCGCCGCGCCGCGCCGTGGGCAGCGTCAGGTGAGCGGTGCGCGAGTGGGTGGGTGCGCGGGTGGACGGCGGCGGCGGGGCTGACCGCCCGGGTCTCTTCCGCAGGTCGGTGCACAACGCGCTGGAGAAGCACAGGTACGGGGGTGTGCGGGGAGAGCGGCGGGGCAGCGCGGGTAGGGCCCGTGCCTGGCCGTGGCTGAGCCCCGTGTCGTTGCCCGCCTGCCCGGCCGCAGGAGAGCCCAGCTGCGCTGCTGCCTGGAGCGGCTGAAGCAGCAGGTACCGGTGGGCGTGGGGCCGACCCGTTCCACCACGCTGAGCCTCCTGCACCGTGCCCGGCTTCACATCCAGGTGAGGGGGTGGTGGCACCGGCAGCGCTCGGTCCCTGTGTGGCAACAGGGCTGCTCAGCTCTGGCCCCACTCACGGCTCACCGGGCCCCACAGAGGCTGGAGGAGCAGGAACTGAGGGCACGAAGAGCCAAGGACCGGCTGCGGGACCGGCAGCGGAGCCTGCAGCGGCGGCTGGAATCGCTGCTCCTGCCCACGGATGGGGAACGGGCCCGGGCTGACAGCCTGGACTCATCCCAGCTCTCCGAGCCCTCCGAGGAAGGTAAGAAAGGGAAAGAGAGAAGGAGGGTGGGGAGGGAGAGAAAGCAGCCAAGGGCCTGACCCGGCCTTCCCCGTGCCCAGAGGATGCCGAGGTAGAGGTGGATGGTGTGGTGCTCAGCGGGGACCTGCTGCCCAGCTTTGGCACCGGGAGGGAGCACAGCTACTCCAGCCCGCACAGCCCCGCGTCCTGACGGTGCCCGCCGCCCTCCCTGCACTGCCTGCCTGCCTCCTTCCTGCTGGAAACCCAGCCCGGCCAGCCTCGCCACGGCTGCCAGGCTAAGGGGCCTCAGATGGGGGCAAGAATCCGGCCTTAACCCCCACAGCTGGGTGGCACTGGCTGTGGCACTGGGTGCATGGGGCTGGCACTGCGCTGTGGCACCTGCTGGGCACCACGAGGCACTGAAGAGGTGCTGGAAGAAGGCCCAGCTGTCACTGAGGACGCTCTCCTGCCTCCCCCTGCCACACGGGCAGTCTGGGGGCTGCCTGGTGTGGGTATGGGGCGGTGCTGCCCACTGCAGACACCACTACAGAAAGGCTCTCCTGCCCCTGGAGTGCCAGGAAGGGGAAACGAGTGCATTAAGCAACCTGCCTTCATGCTCCTGCAGCCACCCCGCCCCCTTGTACAGACCCGACACTTTTATAGTAAAGGCACTTGGTAAAACCCTGGCCTGTGTCTTCCCTGCAGAGGGCTGGACCCCCAGAGTGCAGAGCAGTGCTGGGCTCTGCTCCAGCCAGGCCAACTTCAGCCAAATCAGAGGTGGGAGTAGATTCTTTAATGATAATTACATCTCAGAAAGGGTCAAGCAGCAGCTGATTGTCAGACTTATACAGTTTCTTTAAAAATATAAAATCTAAGGAGTCTCCTATCTGTCCCGGTGCAGCTGGCCCCTCACACGTACTGCTTCTTCTTGGTGGCTGCCTTGCTCGCCAGGTCCTTGGCTTTCTCTGTGGCAGCCAGGGCTGTTTCCTTGGCTTTCTCGGTCGCTTCCTTGGCTGTCTCCACCAGTGTTTTGGATGGAGCTTCTCCTACAACATGGAAGCTGTTAACCCACAGGCTGGACCGGCCCTGCCACCCAGGCACTTCCCCACGCAGGGAGGAAGATGAGGAAGACGAGCCCGGCGTTCCTGACCCCAGCACGTCAGGGCACGTCCCACGGGGGAACCACAGGCACGTGACTGAGGCCGTGTTCCACCCCTCCTGCCTGCTCTCCACCCTTGCCCAGCCCTGCAATCACTGCTGGCCTGATCCACGCAGGAAGAGCAGGCTGTGCCAAGACACAGGGCAAAGGCAAGGGGTGAGGGTTTCACAGTCAGATTAGTTCAAGCAACAACCTGCCCAGGGACTGGAGTGTTCCCAGTGCCACCTCTAACTCCAAGAGACCCATCCCAGTCAGCCCCAGCCTGCCCTTGGTGCCCACCTTGCATTTTTGCTAGCACATATTCAAATCCCTTAGTGCTCTTGGTCACGTTGCTTTTGAACCTGGCCAGACCAAACTCCTGCAAGAGAAAAGTCAGTGCAGGCGTGAGCCCTGTCACACACACAGCCCCTGGGGCTTTGTCCTAGGCTTTAAAAATCACAGTGACCTTCACAGTGATGGTTCTGGGTGCTGAGGATGGGGGGGAACAATGGGAAAGGGTGTAAAACCAGCACGAGGCAAGGGCAGAGCAGTGGGAGCAGCAGCTTCACTGCTGGAGCTCACCTGGATGGCCCGCGAGACGCCGAACAGGCTGGAGGATACCCAGGCTTCCCGCTTGACCTCGGTCCAGTTGCTGTTCTCGGGGTTCACCCGGTACTCGCAGCGCTCCTCCACCACCTGCAGAGGCACAGCCCGGCCGTGGGCACCGCGGGGTCCCTGCAGCCCCCGCCCGGCCCAGCACCTACCATGAGGCGAGCGTGGTTGATGTTCCAGGTGAACGTGGTCATGGTTCGGTTCTTGGGGTCCACGATAGAGTCCTCCAGGATGTAGACGGAGTGGGCGACGTTGGCTGGGAAGAAGCGCTCTGCCCAGCGCGGCATGCGGTTGGTCTTGGTCAGGAGCCGCCGAGAGAGCAGCTTGTGGTCCGGCGTCACCTCCCGGTGCACGATGTCTTCGGTCAGGACATGTTTGCTAAAACGGGGAGGAAATCATCACGCCGTGCTCCTCGCCAGCTCTCCCGCGGGGCTGGCCATCGTCAGGAACCGAGCGATTAAAGCAGGGAGGAACCGGGACAGCCATCCCCGCCGGGGAGCCCCGGGCACGGCGCGGCACCGAGCCCCGCGGGGAGCGGGCGCACCTGTAGGGGTTGGGGTAGCGCTGCCAGAAGGCGGCGAACACCTGGTCCCAGGGCCCCTTGAGGACGCCCAGGCTGGCGCAGTACTTCCCCATGGGGCCGCCGCTCAGGTTCCGGCCCCGCCCCGGCCGGTGCGGCCCCGCCCCGCGGCGGCGGCGGCGCGAGGATGAGCGGGCGGCGGGTGGACGCCAAGGTGGTGCTGCTGGGGCAGGAGGGCGTGGGCAAGAGCAGCCTCGTGGAGCGCTGCGCCCACGGCCGCTTCCGCGCCGGGCCCTACCAGAACGTGAGTGACACACCGGCACCCCCGCGCCTCCCCGGGGTGAGCCCCTGCTCCCGCCTCCTGCCCCGATTCCGCGCCGTGGCCCCGGGTGCTGCCCCCCGCGTTGTCCCCCCGCGTCCCTCCCGCCCCGCGGTCGGTCCCGTCGTTTCCTCGCCCTCTTTCCGCTCGCCCCGCGGTGAATTCCGCCGTGTCCCTGCGCCGGTTTCCGCCGCCTCCCCAGGCTGGATGCCCCCGCATCCCCGGGCCGGTTCCCACCGCTCTCCCTTCGCTTGCAGACGATCGGAGCCGCCTTTGTGGCCAAGGTGATGACGGTGGGCGAGCAGACGGTGACCCTGGGCATCTGGGTGAGTGCGCGGCCGGGGCTGCGCCCTGGCCACCCCCGGTGAGGGAGCCCGGGCAGCCCCCGAGCGCTGTGACCCGCCTGTCGCCCCCAGGACACGGCGGGCTCGGAGCGCTACGAGGCCATGAGCCGCATCTACTACCGGGGAGCCCGGGCTGCCGTGGTCTGCTACGGTAAGGGCACGCAGAACGGGAACGGGAGGGAGCCGGTGGCTGCAGAGGGCCCGCGCCGGGGGGGTGGTGACACCGGTGGGTGACACCATGGGTCGGGCACTGAGGAGCAGTGCCAGCAGACCCCGGTTGCTCTCCCCAGATCTCACCGACAGCGGCAGTTTCCAGCGAGCCAAGTTCTGGGTGAACGAGCTGCAGAACTGTGAGGAGGTGCGGGGTCTGGGGGCTCTGAAGCCTCCCCAGGGGACAAGGGGGCTGGTGGTGGGGACGGGGGCACACCCTGCCAACCCTTTCCCTGCCGCAGGGCTGCCGGATCTACCTGTGTGGCACCAAGAGCGACCTGCTGGAAGAGGACAGGAGGAAGAGGGGCGTTGACTTCCACGACGTGCAGGACTATGCTGACGGTACGGCCGGTGCTGGCCCTGCCGGGGCAGGGGAGCGCTGAGCGGGTGGGCACTGAGGGAGGGCTGAGCTGCCGTGCCCACAGCAGGAGCTCTGCCCTTGCCAGGGCTCCCTGCATGGGGAGGCTCTGCCAGGGACCTCCCTGGGCACGGCGTGTCCTGACAGGGGCAGGCACGTGGCCAGCTGGGCCAAGGGGCCGGGAGCCCTGCCCTGTGCCCCTGCCAGCCCGCTGTCAGCAGCTGTGCCCCAGGGGTGACTCTGGGGGCAGACATGCCCATGGAGCTGTATCTGCTGAACCTGCAGCAAGTGCCAACCTGGGCCCTCATTTCAGAGATCAAAGCAGACCTCTTTGAGACCTCCAGTAAAACGGGGCAGAGCGTGGGTGAGTAGCTGCT